AGAGGAAATGGCCACAAGTTGTGCCAGAGGAAGTTTAGGCTGGACACTAGGAAAAACTTCTTCCCTGAACGGATTTGTCAAGCCCCCAGATCAGGCTGCCCAGGGCAGTGGTGGAAATCCCATCCCTGGAGGAACTGGAAAGCTGTGGTGCTGAGAGACATGGTTTAGTGCTGACTTAATGCTTGGACTCAATGACCTTGAAGTTTTTCCAACCTATGATTCTTTGATTAAATCCCTCTCCTGTGAACCTGGAGCATTTTCTTGGAGGAAACCAACACCACGCTCTGGTGACCTGCCATAGCAGGTACTGAGGTTGTGGTTGGCTTGATGGTGACCCTGAAAAGGGATTAAGTTGCTGTTGCTGTCAGTGGATATGAGGCTAGGTCTGCTTTTGGAAACATTTACTAGTCACTGTTGGTTACGTTCACCCGAGAGTCTCAGTGCCAAGGTGGGGATTTGTCAACAGTTTCCTCTCACCCTTTTGGCCAGGGCTGTGTGGTGATATCTGCTTCCAGTTGTGTGATTCCTTTGTCTGGTATTGTAGAAATAACACTGGAATACTTTGGTTTTATTCTTAAAACTCAGTTATAATCTCTTCTCATGGTCCCACAGAAAGGGGATGTCTAGGAGCAAGTTCTCTGTTCGAATCAAAACGTTCTGTTACCATTTTTTAATTATAATTTATTTCCTGGCAGGTTGTCTTTGTCTCCAGTCTACCCCTCTGAGTTCCTGGGGTTGTGTTCCCTTCCTGGTGAGATGTGTTCACTGACACTTGCATGTGTGTTTGAGGCAGAAGAGAGGTAATGCATTGTACCCTAAGATTGCACATTGCATTTACTGGGTGAGGTAACTTGTTTTGTAGTCTATCACTGGAATAATTTTCAGAAATACCAAAGCTAACCTAGAGAATGTCTTGATGCAGGCTCATATGCTAAGAGAATAGTGACTGTCTTCCATTGTCAGTTAAAATATTTGTCTTTTTAGTCTGGCTTAGTCTTTATAGCAATCAACAATTAAACAAGGCTGTTTTGGCAAAAACTCCTTTTTGAGATAGATTGGGCTCAAATGACCCTCCCTGTGCTGCCAGTTCTGTGCTGCTCTCCTTTAGCATCTGGTTTGCACCACCATGGCTGTGATATAATGAAATTTTATGTGTTTATTTTTATATTTTTAACTACCAAATCTGTAGCTGTGGTGTATCTCCTGTGGTCACAGAAGAGATGGAACTGCTGGTGGCTGACAGTCTGAATTCCCCTACTTCATTTAAAGCAGTTACTCAGCATTCCTTGCCCAGCTCTCTGAAAGCTGGGGCTAATGCCATGCTAAAGAACTAGAAAACAAGTGTAATATTTGAATTTAAGGTACCTTGATGTGGGTGATGGCCAGTGCTACTGAAAATCCCACTAGCACTGGAATGCCAATGAATGTATAAGCCAAAAAATAGCTGCTTTGTGCCTCTTAGCTGTGCTTGATTTGGGGTGTGGCTTTGTGGCTTGCTTTGGTTTTGGGGGCAGGCTGTCTGAGCTTTCCTCTTCAGCTGTAGCAGCCATGCCTTAAATGTCACTTAGGTGTGGGGTGCTGGTGGTCATTGATAATTTGGTTTAGGTTGCAGGTTTAAGGACGTTAGGAGAAACCTTCAGAGAGATGTAGGTGAGTTCTGGCTGCTGTGGAAGTGCCTCATGCTTCTCTGTAACGGGCAAGAGCAACGTGCAGGTAAACTGGAAGCAGAAGTTACTGATATGTTAGAGGCTGACCTTGTCCTGGTCTGGGGACTGCTGGAGCTGCTGGTTATCTAATCTGGGCAGAAGGATCCAGACACCAGGTATCTAAAACAGTGGTGGTTTGTTCATACTTCTGTAACAGATGCTGTGGCTGGCCATGCCCGTGCTGGGAGGTTAAAACGCAGGGCAGTCCTTTATAAAGTCTTGCTGGGGGTGTGTCTGACACAATCATGGAATCGCTAAGGTTGGGAAAGACCTCTAAGATCATCAAGTCTAACCAGCAACCCAGCACTCCCATGACCACTAAACCATGGCCAAGAGTGCCATGTCCACATGTTTTTTTGAACCCCTCCAGGGATGGTGACTCCAGCACCTCCCTGGGCCAAGGCCTCACCAGAGGGATGGCTTTCTGAGTTTTGGTGACACTGTGCTTGGAGATGCAGCAAATACCTCATCACGAGTGCTAGATACCACTTCCAGGAGTGCCATGCCACTTCCTCTGTGGCCTCTCTACCAAATATTGAATAACTAGTATGGGCATTTCCAGGCTGGAGCTCTGCAGGCATCTGTGTCCTTCACAGTGACCAGGAGGCCTGCAAGTCATGTGCAGGAGAAGGTATCTTCAAAGCAGCTAGGATCAAGATGAATTATAAACCTATAATCTCCTTTTCACTGAGATTGGGATAGAAAAGATGAAACTATGTAAAGATCTGTGCCAAGTATTCACCTGTAAGCCCTAGAAGAGCAGGGTCTGATGGCAAAGCCCACAGCTGGAGATGGGGCATAGTCTCACTGAAGTGTAAATGCTGCTCAAAGCAGAAGTCCTGCCTCCTATTGTCTTCATCCCCAAGATTAAACAAGGGAATCAGTGCTGAATAGCTGATCTGTTTATCCTTAAGCTTGATAGGCTTTTGTTTATTTGCAAGTGTCTCAATCTGTTGGCAGAAGAACTAAAGAACTACGGGACCCAGGACGTATTTGTGCTTTGTACCAGAGGAGAGCTTGTAAAATACAGAGTACCCAACCTTATAGACACCTACCAACAGCACGGGATCCGTGTGCACCACTATCCTGTTCCTGATGGGGATGCTCCTGACATTGCCCAGTGCTGCAAAATTCTGGAAGAGCTCAGAAGCTGCCTGGAAAGCAACCGGAAAACAATCATACAGTAGGTTCTGCTTGCCTCCTTCTCACCCTGTGCTGCTGCAGCAGAGAGCAGCTTCCCTCCAGCGTGTGAGCAGCTGAGAATGAACCCTGTCAAATGCTGGTTGCATTCTTTAGGGGTGGTTCAAGCTGTGAGAAGCTGCTTGTTTCTCCTCACTCACCTCCTTGCAGTTAACTTCTCCTTTGTGAGATGTGAAGCTCCCATTTTCCCCTTGCTCTCTGCAGCAAGTGCCCCGGAGTGTGTGCTGAGAGGCCCCGTGTGACTCCCTGCTGCCAGCCCAGCTGGGTGTCAGGTGCACAGCGTGAGCTGCAAGCTCAAGCAGGTGTTGTCAGAGGGTAACACACCCCTGGGCTGTTGATCAGGGGCTCGGTGGGCTCCAGCAGTGCAAAATCCACTCTGAAACAGCATGAGATTGGTTTAAAGTAGTTTTATGTAGGTGAGCTCAGGGTAGAGGGGGAGAGCTTTGTGTGTTCCCCAAATGATGGGACTGTCATTGCCCTGAATGACAGCTCCCCTCACAGACACCCACTGAGCCATGGGCCTCCTCCTGTGCAGAACCCTGCTGCTGTCCTTAGCTCCCAGCTGTCATCAGAGCCTGAACCTGGAACAGGAGTTGAAGGAAACTGAGGTGGTCTGTTTTCTGTTCTGTCCCCCTGTGCTCTTGGGACTATTGCTGTGAATGAATGAAGGGGAACTTCAAAATTGCAGTTTGTCAGGAAAGACAGCACCAAAGGAAGGTCTTGTAATGGTTTGAAAACAAACCAGTGAGAGACTCCAAGTCAGAAAAACAATTTATTAAGAAAAAAATAAAAAGCAATAATACAAAGGAAAACCACAAACAGAGTCAGAATACAACCTGATACTCTGTAGTTAGGGTGGTGGTAGCAGTCCAGATGAAACAGTGGTCTCGTAGAAAAGATCTGGTAGCTCTTGTCCTCTGGAAATCCAGTGGGTAAGGCCCCCCGTGCTGTACTGAACCCCAGTTTATATCCAGGTGGGAGCACTTGGCTCCTCCCCCTGGGTGGAGCATCTCACAATGGGTTGATATCAGTCTATGAGTCATGCAGTGGGTCCTTGATGGTCCATTAAACAGAAATAGCTCCTGGGGGGAGTTCTGTATGAGTCATGGGGCGAGGCATGGATGGGCCCATTAACAGGGAGGACTCCTCCTGCTGGGTGGGAAGGTGTTAACATCTCCCCTGACCTTGAACCTCTTTCCTTATCTGTTATAGCCTGGGGTGTGAGGTCTGTCCTGGGCAGCTGCTACCCATGATTTTCTTAACAGCCCACGAGCACTGACATAGAGAGTATAGAATACACAGTTTTGGTTCTACCCACATTAGGATAAACTGGTCCCAGCCCCTGTAACCATGACAGGTCTGAAGCATAAAAGGGAGATAGCCCTGTAGGTATATTCTAACTCTCTTGTACTGCTGCTCTTCCTGATTATACAAAGGCAAGAACTGTGTCCTTATGGATGTCCTGGGGGCTGTGGGTTTTGCAGCACCCTCCAGCTTGTTACAGCCCAACCTTCTCTCCTCTTCCAGCTGTTATGGTGGCCTTGGACGCTCGTGCCTCAGTAAGTAGTTGCCTCCCCCCCTCAGTGCCTACCCTACACACCCATTCTCATGGGACAGCACTCTCCAAAGGAGCCAGATTCTGATTGAAGCTGGTTACAGGTAGTTAAATCTGTTTGGGTGCCTGTCTTGGGAAAGCTGTTGTTAAATGGGGGTAACTTCTAAAGCTTTCAGGGGTGTCAGTTATTGTGTGTGCCCCAAAAGGAAGGGGTGGGGATATGGCCAAAAAGGCAACCAAAAGACACAGGGGAATTAACTGGGTGTACTGGGACTTGCTCTTGGAATGACTTGAGAATTTGCTGCCTGAGCAATGCTAGAAAAGCAGAGGGTGGGGAAATCTGAGTGGGATTTCACCCGTTTCCAAAGCCTGCAGGCTGGGGCAGGAGCAGCTGCAGGTGGGGCCAGTGCCAACAAAGCCTTCAGCAAGAGGTCCAGCAGATCTCTGACCTTTGGCAGGATGAGGCTGGGTTCTGCTGGGGTGGTTCTCACAGAACAAACCTGTTGCTGTGTGAAACCAGGCTGTGCTCAGGAGCCTGCACATGCCCTTCCCTTCCAGTTGCTGCCTGTCTCCTGCTGCAGCTTTCAGATGCACTGGCACCTCAGCAAGCAATAGACAGCCTCAGGAACCTGAGAGGATCTGGGGCCATCCAGACCATCAAGGTAAGGGGGCTACAGCAGGTAACACACGTCAAAACAAGAGCAGGTGGCTTGGACAGTGCTCTCCTTAATGTCACAAAGGGATCTCCCTGTCCTGAGAAGCTCCACAGCTGGTGTCCCTGCTGCTCTCTTTGTTGCTCATATTCTCCAAACGCCTCAGATGTCTGTTTGATTTTTCTACCTTGGTTTTGTTCCATCTTCCTAACCCAGTAGCCAGCCAGAGTCATCTCCTGCAGCTGTCACAGGATGCACTGGCAGCAGAAGCATCCCTTGTACTGCTGTTAAAACCTACATGGAGTTGCTGATTAAAATGTAGCTTTCTTCTTTTGGAGGTATTTCTAGCTACTCCTGTACAAATTTCTCCTGATACATGTCCTGGATGTTGTGCTCTTAAAGCAGTTCTGGGTACAGGAAGAAGGAGCTGAAACTTGAAAAGTTTACAAGATAGTTTCTGAGGTGAAAGAGTTGCCCAGAGACTGTCTCTAGCCTCTCTGTGAGGCAAATCTTGTTCAAACTCCTTGTTGAGAATCAGTTTTCTCCAAGCCAAGGGGGTGGGCTGGGAACAGCTTGCACTCCTGGTTGAAGAGAAGAAGGGTATCAACAGGGAGTGGATGATCTGTCCTTTTAGCCTTTGCTGACCAACATTTTTGATCTTATTTTGAACATTTGTGTATTAGTACTACACATGGTGTATAAGTTAACCTAAAAATTCTTACTATAAACTGCTGTGCATCATACTAGCTACAGGCTGTGTCCTGCATCAGGGACTTGTCCTGGAGAGAGAAATACTCCTGATGACCCAAATAAAGCAGCTTTGAATTGTGATGTGAAGATCCTACCTGCTGAGGACCATATTTTGTGCTACTTTGAGTTCATGTGTTCCCTTTGAGGAACCACAGGAGCCAGGCCAGGATCCCTGTAATCTGTGAAAAATTCTAGAGGGTTTGGAGTAAGCACAAAAGGAACAAATAGACTATTGGGTACACTTTTCATCCTGGAGTATCAAACAGCTGTTTAAGACGGGTAGTACCTTTTCTGAAAGTGCAGAGTGCTCATTCCAACCCCGGTTGTGCTTTTCCAGCAGTACAATTACCTCCACGACTTCCGAGAGAACCTGGCTGCACACCTGGCCACGAGGGACACCACGCTGAGATCTGTGTCACGATAACGGGCACTGGGCTGGTGACACAGCCTCCTCACAGCCCCTCCTGGCACCTGCCTGGGGGACAGCTCATCTCTGTGCCAAGTCGGGGAGGAAATCAACCCTGCAGGACATGCAGCATCTTCCTCTGGCAGAATTTAACACTCGCTGCCTTAAAAGGACATGGAAGTGTTTGTGTTCATTGCTGGTGGCCTGGCGAGCTTGTTTTTAATATAACAGTGACTTCTACACGATGTCTTGCCTCAGTTTTGGTGTCATTTGGTACCTACCAGCTGCTTCTGTGAACTTACCAAGAGGAAGGGAGGCTGGGCTGTCCAAGCAGTGACTGAATTTCATTTTGACTCCATCCCTGTTCTAGGTAGGGAGAGAATCAGGACAAGCAAGGCAGGGTCTGTGAGGAAATGGAACAGTCCCCACACAGCTGAGTGCAGCCTGCCAGGGCCCAGGGGCTGCTTTCTGCCCCAGTGGGTAGGGGAAGGAAAAGGGTGAGAGGTGAAGGATAACTCCTTCCCTGCTGCCCTTATAAGAGAGTCGTGCTGAGGTAATGTAGTTGGGTAAAAGTGACATCATGGAGCTGTTCAAAAAAACCCTCAGTTTAACTTTAAACCAAATGAAAATTTTCCTGCTTGTGTGTTGCCCCTTAGGAGCTAGGAAGGTCTTGAACCTGCCCAGGGATGGAGCATCCACAACTTCCCTGGGCAAACTGTTTCAGTGTCTCACCACCCCCACAGTGAACAAATTCTTCCTTGCATCTGATCTCAATCCCCCCTCTCCCAGTTGGAAGCTGTCACCTCCTGTCCTGTCACTACCAGCTCTTGCAGAAAGCCCCTCCACAGCTTTCTTTTAGGCCCCCTTGAATGCTGGAAGGCCACAAGGTCTCCCTGGAGCCCTCTCTAGGCTGAACAAGCCCAACTCAGAGCAGAGAGTTTTCAGACTTGCCTCCCAGAGCTCCCACAATTAATTAATTATCAGTTAAATACCAGGTGGACAATCTGAATGCAGGTGACTGGTACTCTGGCTGGGCACCACAGGAGCTGCTCCACACCCACCAGCTGCTCTTAAACAGGTCCCTTCTCTGAAGGAGGTGGCTGGGTCATCCTCACACCTCCACATGCTGGGTTAGCACAGGACTTTTCAACTTCTCATCTGCACTTCTGACCTTCACCTGTGAACTTTTTAGAAAGCCAAGGAGAGCCAGGAAGTCTCATTTCCATAACATTAATAAATTACAAACATACAGAGAGGTTAATTAGTTTTGCTTACACAGGCTGAAGCCACAACTCGCAGGAGGAAAATAAAAACAATCAGGAACAACACTCCTGAGTTTCCGGAAAGCCTTTCAAAAATTCTTCTAAGAGCTCAGAAATGGGATTGTGTAAGGAGGAAAATCCTCTTGTCAACTAACAACTGATGGGAAGGGATGGCAGAGGAGGAGGGTGAAGGTGAGGAGGGGCTCCTCAACCTGAAGTTACCACAGTCTGAGTTCCTGTACCCCCTCTAAATTATAAAAACAGAGAAATGCAGAAGCAGAGGAGGAAACTGCCACACTAAAATCCCCTGGGCACCCTAATCTCACATAGTGAGACGTGTTGGTCTCCTCCAGTTTACAAAAGGAATGTTTGGGCAGTAAAAAGGATAATCACAAAGCTATGGAAAGAGTTCCAACCAAGAGATCATTAAATGGACTCCTCTGCTTTGACAGACGATGCAATAAAGATCTGTTCAATCATGCCCAGCATAAGTAAGGTGTAAAGGGGGAAATTTTCAATATGCCTTAAAAAATAAGAGCTGTGGGGAATGAAGATAAGTCTGGCAGAACTTTTAAACGTGTGTTTTATACATACTAATTCCATTGCAGAACTCGTCGTCTCATCACATCTTTCACATTAAACATGCTCAAAAAGCAACGGAATTAATGGAAGAAAAGCAATTCAAGGGCTGTTGAAGATGCCAAACCTCTGGGTCAGGCAGGTTTCCCAACACCTTGTCCTGCTATGCAGGCAGAGATCATAGAATCCTTTAGGTTGGAAGAGTCCTCCAAGATAATCAAGTCCGATCATCAAGTCCAACCATCAAGCCA